CACCGCTGCCCATCAAATCCCCCGTACTGCCATCCCGCGAGCTTATCAGTGCTGAGAAGGCAGAGGCAAACATTTTGAAGGCGCAAAGTCTCTACATTTTGCAATGGCTTCCCAAGTTTGATTGGTTATTGTTGGATAAGAATGATGATGGTTTGCCAATTTTGCGTTGCAGCATTTGTTCAGAGCACGGGGAAAGACGACGCAAAGTACGGGCGCAACGGAAGCGGGGGGAGAGATTTGCAACTGGGTTCCATGAGAAGCCACAAAGTCAGTGTCTGCCACGAGGAAGCGCCGAAGAAGCAAAGGATGCTCCTGGGGAAGATCGACAAGCATAAAAAGCTCGCCGACTTCGAGAAGACGGACAAGGAGGGCGCGCGGCTGACTTGGCTCATTCGGAATATCGAGTCCGTCTGCGACCATGACGCGCCAATCTCAATATACCGGAAGCTCATGGGATTCTTGGCAGAAGAGGGAGTGCCCGACATACCAAATCAATCTTACGGCATCTGCATTACACAGTGTGTGAACTACGTGTTTTGCGTGCCACGTTGCAGTTCTTGCCCGATTCACTTTTCTTGTTTATTTATAGATGTCTGTGCTTTACGCAGGTACGGTTTCAACGAGATGATCGGAGCGATGACCAAATACCAAAATGGTCAACAGATGCAGCATCTTCTCGTGTCGCCCTTCATTGGGCTTACGTGTGACGAGAGCACGGACTGCACGCGTGGCAATCACTTGATAGTGTTTGCTATTTTTTTGAAGAACCGCGTATTCGTCACCGAGTTCTTAGCACTATTGACGATCAACAAATGCGATGCGTTGTCGCTCTTCACTGTGCTTCTGAGTCATTTGGAGTCGACCGGTGTCACCTCAAGAGAGTGGCCGACATCAGCACCGACGGTGCATCTGTCATGATGGGCAATAAGGGCGTACTTGTCTTCTGGTTACAAGAGCGCATTCCTCATCTCGTCGTTTCTCAGTGCGTCGCCCATCGGTATTGTTGTTTCGTACAGATTTTGGGGTTTGTGTTTGTGTTCATTGTTGTTTGCATGTGCTCTACTGATTTGTTTTCTTACATTGCGCTGAAGGGAAGCCCTGGTGGTGAAGGACGCCACGAAGGTATTTCCTAACTTCGACATGGTCGATTCTAGTGTGCGAGCCTTGGGCGAGATTGTGGGGCTCTCATCGATGGTACGAGCGCTTTAAAAACCTGCAAGTAGATATTCACTGCACCAACCTGGAGCCTCAGGGCCTTTTGGGGCCTCTGGAGTTTTGGGGCCAGCAATTGTGGTCATCATGGAGTATCGCCACAAAATGGCGGCTACTGTGCAAACATTCAAATTCCATTTTTGTTTGAACTACTTAGCTGACATTTTGGGGGAGTTGAACTCCCTCAACACGTTTTTCCAGCATCGAACGGTAAGTGTTATGCACTTCGGGGTGATCATTATGCTAAAAGGTATAAATCTCACGTATACTAACCTTTACTCCCTGCCCACTTGAACAGGTGGCCATCACCCAAGTTTCGAAGGAAGTTGATCGGACGATCACGATCATCAAGGACATGTACATCGAATATGGTGAAACATACGAAGGGCGGGTCAGCAAGCTCCTATCACGCTTCACCGATGACCACTGGGATGGAAATCGGACGGTGGAGGTGCATGGTGTTGACGAGGATGGGCGGCCCACGTCACATCGATTCACGCTTAGCGACGAACCCATCAAGGGCACAAGTTTGGTGGATCGTTAGCCTAGTGTGTGAAGTTGTGCACGTCGTTCGCGAAAGGGATTGTGGGAAATCTCAACGTCCACATGTGGGACCTGAATCAGATGGGCGGTGCAAAGCTGTTCAAAGTGGAGTCGTGGCCAGAGAAGTTGGAGCAACGAGAGCGAAAGTGCCAGATGTGGCTGGCACAAAACGACACACTTTTAGGCGGGAAGCTACCAGGTTTGTGCAAGGTTGATATTAATGTATATGCGTGTGCACCGTTTCATCAATGTTTATGTGTCATTTCTGCACATGTACATCCCAATAAATAAGTTCCCTCCAAATTACCGCCCCATTTTGTACACACCACCCAATTTCAGGAATCAACCTTAAAGCAACAGTCTACATTTGACACCCGAAACCCTAAGCCCTGGCAAATTGTTACTGTGGAAGAAACGTGTCCGCACGAAATCCTGATTTTTGCCAGCCAACAATTTCACGCTAGCAAGCCTGGTTAAAAAAAAAAAACTTATGATCCTATGCTAGTCAAATATAGACTCTCGTTTTAAGGCCGCTGAGCTGGAGCTGAAAAGCTTCCGTCACATCTTGCCGCAACATCACGAAGACGAAGATTTCCACCAGGGGCTACAGAGCATGCTGAAAACCAAGGACTGGCCAAACAGCTTCCCCAACCTCATGACTATGTGGCAGGATCTCGCGGTTCTGCCGCTCAGCACGGTCGAGTGTGAGCGTGGATTTAGTAGGCAACATATCATCAAGAGTTGGATTCGCACCTCAATCTGCATCACATGCAACATATCACATGCCTCGAAAAGCTCATGATGCTGCACATGCTAAAGTACCCCTACATCTGGCCTGTTGTGGTGGACATCTGGCCAAAGCGGAAGACCAGACACCCAGCGAGAACACCCGCAACAGTCAGACTTACCTTGGGGAAAGGGAAAGAGAAAGCACTAGATCGTTCAGACAATAGCGACCAGGAGCACGACGAATGCAACATGTATGATGATGATTACTAAGATATAAATGAGTTTTTTGATAGCCAACAATAACATAAGTTAAAATCACGACGATATACAATGCATTAGGGTTTTGAAAAATTATACACAGTGCCTTTAGGGTAGTGATTTTGAAAACCACCAATACCCTGACGTTTAAAAGCTACGGCAATGGGTCGGACTGATAATGAGGGTTTCCAAAAAAATAGGAGTGACAATAAGAGAAGCAAAAAAATGAAAACTTAGCCCTGCTTAGTATAAACTTCCCTTCCCAGTCTCAGAATGTGCAAGCATAATAATGTTGACTAAGGGGAATGGGTACAAGTACAAATGTCGAGAAAATTATTGTACCCTATAATAACTACCCCCATACCGTAATCCCCCGTATATAGAGTCCGCCGAAATAATGCTATTATGGGTGGATTGGGGGAACAAAAAATACTACACACTATCTTTTGGGGTTCCAGGAGATCACCCCCCTTAGTAATTGCTAAAAACAAAAAAAAACACATGATTTTTGCATGGGTAAGTTTGGCGATTAACACAGAGAACACACATACACTTCTAGAGAATAAAATTAATCAGAAAACTTGGAATTGAATGGATTGTTAATGACTTCATACAGCAGGGTGTATACGCATGCAGCGAAACCCCCAAGGATGGTCACATCCCCACCAATTATTGTACCTCCAACAATGCCAACTCCAATAAAGAGCGGCAATAATTTTACCCCCAATAACTGTAAACTCCAATAATGCAGCTACTACAATAATTGTACAATTATTGTAGGGCCAGCAGAATAATAAAGGAGTGTACGATAAAATCTAACAGCAAATTATTTATCATTTACATTTATATTTCCAACACTCCCCCTTGCTGTAGAGTTTACTAAGGTTTAATTGTCTGGTGGGTGAGGCATAAGGAGTTGATTTAGGTTTGGATGTTGATTATGGCATTGATTGCGGCGGGGATTGTGGTGGTGATGCTGATCACGGAAGTGATCAAATTGATCTCGGATTGTTTACCACCACCCTAGGGTTTTGCAGGTTCCGTTGAAAAAGTATCGACGTGAACCACAGTAGCAGCAGTTATGATTTCAGCTGCACGTTCCAACTTGCGCAGGTGCATGTTTCTCTACTCATTCGGTTCCATCGAAACTGCACATGTTTCTTGTTCCTCCCTACAAATCTCGCGACCTTGTTCAGCAGGGGGTATATCAATCTCACCAATCTCGCCATTCAGTCACTTCCAGATCTGGTTTTTGAAGGCGTTTCTCCAGCAATGGCTGCCGTGATGTCCGAATCCATGGCAATATTATGGCCCAGTGCGTAGCAGTAGACGAGTTCTAGCAGCTGCTGGCGCGCGACCTAGGCAGCAAAAAATGCTCCATGTTGCGCGATTGCTGCTGCTTGTCGTGCGACACTGCTGTAGTCGTGCTTAGCAGTAGTTGCGTGACATGCAGCAGTTGCACATGACTGAAGTAGCTGCTGCATATCATGCAACCCTGCAGTAGTCATTGCGCTACTGCTGCTATTGATGCATAACATAAGCATTTTCCGCGATGACATGTATCATGGCGCGAGCTCGAGCAGCACTTTGTACAAGTGTCTGCACCTTTTGCCAAGCGATTCCAGTGGTTCGCTCCATGACGTGCGGCTGCTGCAACTGATCCGCGATGGTTGCATCTGGGGTGCAAAGGCAATAGCTCAGTGTCTTCTCAGCGACATGCACACGACTGCATCTTCTGGTGCGCGATGCTGCATGCGCGTGAATGCAGCATGGCGCGCAATTTTTGTGCGACTGCTGCGAGTGCTTCCGTAGGACTGCACCATCTGGCCGCGGCCACCTGCTCTTGCTAATCAACGACCTCAGCAGCAATGGCGGCTGGACCACGACAGCAGCAACAGCGTGCAGGTGGCGTACAGCTGTGCCGACACCATCAGCTGGTGGTGCATGGCAGCAGTAGTACTTGACGACGGGCGCCTTCAGCTTGAGTGGCGAGCTCCTGCTAGCTCGCATGGACGATGCGAGCAGCCAGTGGTGAAGTGCTTCAACACATGACGGACGGCTGCACCATCAGCTTGTGGGCGACCAGCAGCAACGCGTGCTCGCCCCCCCTGCCCGGTGCCATGACGATGAGTAACACCCTTCTTGCTCCAATTCGTTCAAGTATTGAATCCAATTCACATGATGATGCCAAGCCTGATATGAATTCACCCATGTTAATAATGCTTTTGATGCCCCCCCCCGCCCCTTCTTCACACCAGCTGGCGCATGGGAGCAGCTGCAGCTAGTCAACAGCAACTGCTGGCGGCCTGCACCAGCACTTGGCGACCTGCAGCAACACCTGGCGGCCTGGTGGCTTGCAGCAACACCTGGCGGCTTGGAGGCCTGCAGCAGCACCTGGTGGCCTGCACTAGCAACAGGTCTTCTGCCCTTGAACAAATGAGTGGCTTCTCCCCACATGACTCTGTAATCCTTTATTCACCCCTGCAGTATTGCCTTCTGATTTTCTACTCATGCTGTAATACCGCCCACTTATCTTGCTTTGTGCGATGTTCTTGGCTGATATGGACTCGTTATGTCGTGATTCGCTCCCCCTGAAACTAGCAGGCATTCGGAAACAGTGGCAGCTCGCGGGCAACAGCATCAAGAGCACTGTAGCAAGCGATGGCTGATTGCAACAGCAGTTGCCGGCGAATGACGACAGCAGTTGTTGGTGACGGCCAGCTGTAGGAATCCCTTGTCTTGTTCACTGATGATCAGTAGGTCTTCGCCTCATGATACACATGTGTTGACACACCAAAATACTCCACACCAAGATAATCCACACCCCACCCCCCCTCTCTCTCGTATGTTTGTAGCCATACACATGCGTGAGCACGCACACGGCGGGAAACACATGAGTGAGATGCGAGGAGTTAAGTGATGTTCGATTTTGCTGCACTCTTGGATGTCGCCACAAATGTGAGTGCAACACCGGCATATTCCACTTGCTGAAGATTTGCAGACGCTGCACCAGGTGGGATTGGTTGGAGGCCCACAAGAGGCTGCAGATGAGATGTTGCTTTGATGTAATGGGCTTGGTAAGTTAAACTGCTGCTTGCTGAGCTGTAGGGAAATACTCTAGCCGCATAACACCATCACAAACCGTCTTCCTCGTCCAATGCTAACGTACTTCCATGTGTTTAATGCGTTGACTCATCTGCTCCACTGTCCCAAGTGCAATTGCACTTTGGTTGTAAAAAAAAAAAAGGAAAACAGTGGGCTCCATTTGTGGAAAAACTAGGTCTTCACAGAGGCGCCACATGTGAGTAGCTCCTCTTGCCTTTCGAACATTGTAATAAACTCAACTTCAGTTGTTGATGTAGCAATGACCGTTTGCCTCTTCGTCCTCCAAATGACAGCAACTCCTTCCAAGGTAAACACGTATCCTCCCACTGAGTCACACCGTGCTTCATTTAAGTACTTGAATTCAGCTGAATTCCTAGCACAGTTGTAGCTGTTGGCTTGCTATCCCGTCGAGCCAACACACGTGTCCCATATGTAATGTCTCACCTCCCTGCTGTTGAGATGTACAGCACTAGCTGACAATCAATTTCATCGGGTGGCCCCCCCTCTGGTCCATGTTCCTTGGAGATTGGCGTCCCAACCCCAGAACGGCTGCCTTCCATCCGAGAGTTTGCCAAAACGTGTGAGGTATACTTGGTGAGTCTTAGTGAGACCGTATCAGCGTTAGCAGCGACATTGAGGCCCAAAAACTGCGTCATGGTTTTGTTGGATGAGGATGCCGTCCACATAAGTCAGTAGCCACACCGTGTCTTTGCCTTGTCTCATCCAAATGAACAACGATGGGTCAAATTCTGATTGCACCATATTCAGCTCCAGCAGCACTCCACGTAAGTGCTGATGCCACAGTTGTGGTGCTTGTTTCAGTCCATAGACGCTCCGCTTCAGTTTTCAGACCTTGTCTCCATCACGTCGTGGTTCAGGTGGCCGCACATACATGTCTCTATCGATTGGTGCGTACGAAAACGCGTTGGAGATGTCCAGCTACTCTACTGTCCGCTCCGTTGCAGATGCACCAGCAACAAACATGCGCGAGGTAGGTCGTTGGCTGACTGGGGCGTATGTGTCATCATATGTTCCCCATGTCTGTCCACATCCTTTAACCACCCAACGTGCTTTGAACCGATTTGGCTAGCCGTGCTCATCTCGTTTCACCCTCAACACGACTCCTACTGTCAACACCGGAACTCCCTTTGGTACGTTTGTTCTGTCCATCACTTCATAGGCTCCTTGCTTGTTGAAATTGGCCAATTTTGCATCCACCGCAGCTTGCCAAAGAGGTGCGTAGGGGTCCTTGACCATATCCTTGGGTGTTTTGAGTCCCTTGTAAGTCCACCATGGGCACGCCGGCTACTGCACATCCTAACACATGCTGCTGTAAGTTGGGAAGGCTACATGCTCTTTGTAAGGATTCTTTTTCAGTTCGTCTGGCTTGTCTTGCCTGCCATTTCCCTAACGGCACATCCGGTCCTGTCATGTTGTCCATCCCTTGTTCCTCACCTCCGAGCATAGCCACAGCTAGATTGAAGTGAACCCGTTGTAAAATTGCGTCATGTGCAGACAGCGGGATCCCATCAATTGGGTAGGCAAAGTCATAGAGATGACTTGCCTCATTCTCTATTTCATTGTCTTCAGCACCTTCAGGGACAGAGATGCCTACTGCAGGTAAGTCACTTGTTGCAACCTCTTCCGCGGTATCGGCTGCACTGGCAGTAGGTGAGTCTTCTTATGTTGAGTTGGCTTCTACATCTCTTGAGCTTGAGTGGATGACGTAGAGGGGGTGGGGATGCTTGAAAAAAAGTCAAACTAGGACCCAAAGCCTTCTCCACTTGGTGTCCATCTGGCAATGTGAGGTGAGACTTCATACATGATAGTGTTGGCATTCGAGCAGAGACTTGACGTTTGGTAGCATGAGGTCATCAAAGAACAGAGCTGAGCCAATGTCCGTGTCAGTGTTGCTTGCCAAGTCCTGCACGATCCATGCCTTCCGAACATTGGAGATGCCAAGAAACATTCCAGCCCGTCCTCTTTGTTCAAACTTCCCAAAGCTGCCTTGGGGAGGAAGATAATAACAGAGACAGCCAAAGGTACGTGTCCGCCAAATTCTGTAAAGCAGCCAGCGGCTTCATGGGCAACTTAATCTTCATATCTGGATGCCAAGCTGAAAAGACCGATTGCATATCGGATCGGCGTGTCAATGGCGCCACCTACAGGTAGTTGGTATAGTCGTCCTTGAGCGTTAGCACATAGCAAATTGAGGGGTGAGCATCACCCAAATCCATGATGTCGCTATGCACGAGCTCCAAAGGACGTGTTGTGCCCTTGTCATTTCCCGTGGAAAACGGGGCCTTGCTTATCTTACCTCCAAGACATGAGTCACACGGGGATTTGAGAGGCTTAGTTTTGTCAGAGATTGAGAGTCCTTGAATGTCTCTAACCAAAAAGTTGCACCCATGGAGTGTTGGTGCAACACCATGGTTCGCACTCGGCTTGTTGTCCTTGTGCGTGCGTGCTTGTTTGCATGGAATGGTATGAGAGCATGATATAATATATATCTCATGCTTATAATAGTCTGTGAGTGATGAGTCCTCATGTCGAATGTGTGTGTCGAGTCAATAGCGACTTATCACTAGTCGCGTGTCACATCGTCGTTTGCGTGTCGTGTGCGTTTTCTGTTTTGTATTGTATCAAATGTTCGGCGTGTCGCAGGTATATGCAGCAAGCATCCAAGAAACCAAGGAAGAATTTATCTTGAAGAACCAGCGCCTTGGTTTCAACATTCAAGTGATTTCAAAGCTCTCCAAAACGGTAAACACCAAGATAGTGTGAATAGATACATTGCATTGAGTAGTGTAACATAGAGGACTACGATTGTTGCTAGACCGCCCCTCGCTCAAACTAATCTTACGTCGTCATTTCTTTATAACATGAAGTGGTTCAATGTGATAATTGTAGAAGATGCTAAGATGCTCCAGATCCAATGTATAGCACCTCATTTAGTGCTGTGACGAGAACGCTATTCATGTATGAATCCACTCTGCCGAAATCCGTCTATGCAGTCTATCTTTCGTCTTAGGCACTTTTGAGCCTATTGTGACTGTAACAAGTGATATCAGAGCCCCTTGGAGCAACCGCGACAATGGCTGGACCTGAGGAAAGGGGTGGCAGAGGTGCTGGTGGCAGTGGATAGGCCCAAGCTCATGGCCATCCCCATGATCCGCTTGTGGCTCCCATGCAACCTACTTTGTTGCCGGTGAAGCACGTCACTTCAGCTTTGGGGCAGCGAGAAGAGGTGAAAGGTATGGGCAAGGCCATTTTTATGGGTGCTGATGGGAAGATGGTGGGCCTCAAGAACGTGGTTTGGTTGCCCAACCTTGTTGCTAACCTGATTTTCATGCGGCTGTTGCAAAGGCCGGCATGGACACGAGCTCAAAGGGAGCCAAGACCTACACCGCAAGGCTTGGCAAGATCATTCTTCGGGAACTTCATGAGGATAAGGATGTCTACAATGAGATGTGGCAGATCCATGTGGTCCCAAGGCCTAAGGAAAGGCAAGTGGCAGCAAGCATCAGCACCAAGGGTGAAGCGGTTGGTAGAGGCAATGGTGAGAATGTTGGCGGCAAGGAGAAAGAGTCCAAGAAGACCAATCTTGGAGAGACCAGCAAGCCGTGTGATAACAAGGAGAGTGGTGCAGCAGCCAAACAACAGCAAAAGGGTGAGCAGAACCTCAAGACATCGACGGAGGAGTACGGAGAGAGCATGTAAGGCACTATTGCAAGTGCGGCACTCTCCAACCGGACTTCGGCTGTGGGGGGAGTGTGATTGGTTGATCTTGCATCGGCGAATGGGGCATGTGGCTCTGCCTAATTTGCAGCAACTAGTGAAGAAAGAAATGGTTGCTGGCAAATGCGTGAAGGGGGAACCCACTGAGGTACTTGGCTGCCCGACAAGCATGCAAGCCAAGTTGACCCGTTTCCCATTCTCTAGCTCAGAGGCAACGGCTAAGGCACCACTAGTTATAGTCACAATAGGCTCAAATGTGCCTAAAACGAAAGATAGAGTGCACAGTCGGATTTCTGCACAGCAGCTTTAAACGTTCATAGCGTTCTGGTCACTGCTTTAAATTGGATCTGAAGCGTCTTGATGTCGCATACAATAGACAATTTAGATCGCACGATTTCATCAAGTATTGACGTCACAACGTCTGTTTGAACGAACGGCACTATGGGAGCCACTATTATTTTAGAACACAAATTAGGAAGCGTTACAAGTTGGGAATGACTCCAAGCCTCTACAAACCCCAAGAGCCGAGGTACAGTGATGTGGAACAGTGCCATACTATCCAACCACAAAGGGTCTCGAAACTACCCTCCACAAGGGCCTACACCAAGAGAAATGTTACACTACACATTGTAATGTAACTATTCTCATTATCTTGAAGTTTACCCTTTTGGCGAGCTTCGAAATCACTTGAGTCTTGAAACCAAGGCTCTGTTTCTTCATCATAAACTCATCCTTTAGTTCTTGAAAGTCTGCTGCACGCACCTGCAACACGCCGAACGTTCCACACACGACAAAGTAGAAAACGCGTACGACACACAAACGACGACGTGACACGCGAATAGCGATAACTCGCTATTGACTTGATACACACATTCGACATCATGACTCATCATTCACACACTATTATAAGCATGAAATATATATTATCTCATGCCCTCATACCATTCCATGCATACACGCATGCACGCACACTGACAACAAGCCGAGTGCAAACTGTATGGTTGCACGAACAAACTCCCCCTCGGATTGTTGGCATTAGGATCTGCTCCTCTCAGTTCAGAGCCATCCCAGCCAGCTTGCAACACTTCTAATGCTGCTGTTCCACCAGCCTTTTAGTCATCATGTCAGCTGGCTGCCCCGTCGTCTTCACGTAGTGCAACTCAACGTCACCCGCGGCCACCATGCTCCTCGTCCAATGCCATTTCACCCTCATGTGCTTGGTGAGGCCGTGCAATACAGGGTTCTTAGCAAGTGCAATGGCACCCTGGCTGTCACAGTAGAGTGGGGTAGGTCCTTGCTGCTCCTCCCCCAATTCAGCCAACAAACGCCGCTGCCACACAATCTCCCGTACGGCACGGAAGAGTGCCATGTACTCGGACTCCACTGTGCTCAATGCTTAGTCCACCTGCTTCTTGCTCTCCCAAGAAGTTGGGCCAACACCAATACAACAAATGAAGCCTCCCACACTTGTCATGTCCTACTGTTTCAATGCATAAGAGGCATCGAAGAAGGTTGTGAGGAACAAACGCCCTGGTTCAACACCATCCGCGCCCTTTTGGCGCCTTTGTACCGCCGCCGAGTATTGCAGACCAACGGTCGCCGTTTGGCCAAGATAATTGGCCACCCTCATTCCAGATGCTACCCGCTCCTCATTAGGGAATTGAACAACCCTAGCCAGCTGCCCGGTAGCAAAGGCGACGTCCGGTCGGGTGTTTACCGCCGCATACATGAGGCTGCCGGCCAACGAGTGAAATCGGCGCCTCTCCTCTTCTCCAGCGCTCTCCTCCTTTGGTCCCTTCACACACTTGAACCCAAAGGGAAAGGGAGTATCCACATAACCTTCACTCTGCCCAAAGTTGGCAGCCAATGCCTCCAGGTGCTTGCGTTGATGCACTCCCATCCAACGCTTCTCCACGTTGCGTTCGATATGAAGCCCGAGGTAGAAGTTCACGTCACCAAGGACCTTGCACTTGAAATTGTCTTGAAGCTTCACGATTGCTGCATCTTCCAACTCCTTGCAAGAGGCTACCCGCGACTCACAAGGCGGTGATTGGCCAGAATGGGGAAGCGACAGGCGGTGGGCACGAGGGAGGAGGCGAGGAGGAAGAGCACGGGCAGCAGCCGCACCAGCCCCCCCCCCCCCCCCCCCCTTCCCTAGCGCTTTCCCCCCAACTCACATGACCGTGACTTGCAGGCTGATTTGAACGTTCCATCTCACTGCTCCCCAACACTCCCCTCCCCACCACACGACTCACATGGCGGTGATTTAGCAGCATGGGGAAGCGACGGGCGGTGGGCATGAGGGAGGAGGCGAGCAGGAAGAGCACGGGCAGCAGCCGCACCAGCCCCCTCGTCCCCCCACTGTGCACCCTCGCCTGCGCCACCCACTCTCCCCCTCCACTCCCCTCGGCCCCTCCGCCTCCATCGCCGTCACCACCCTCCTCCTCCTCTGCCTCCTGTTCGTAAGGCAGCAGGTTCACCAGATGCTCGTGCACGCTCACAGGGGTGCCTGGGGGGAAGGAGATGAGCTGGAGCGAAGAGGAGACACGAAAAAGGAGTGGGTCAGGCACCTTTTGAGTCCTCCCCCCCCTGCTCGTGTTCGTAAGGCAGTAGGTTCACCACATGCTCGTGCACGCTCACAGGGGTGCCTGGGGGGGAGGAGAGCGACTGCAGTGAAGGGAAAACTGGTTATTGAGGATGGGCTGGAGAAAATAAAGCACCCTAACCACGCTCCGCATCCAACTCTCCATGCCTCCCTCCCTCACACCGTCACATCCTCACACCCTTAGCCCCTCACTCTGGACCTCCACTCACTCTCATCCGCCCCTCACCTTCTTCAGCTTCTGCGCTGGTAAATGTTGTCTCTTCCTGTCACTGCCCACGCACGCCCCATGCACTGAGAACACATGGGACGCGTTGAACACAACACCCCTGCCATCCACAAACACATCTCGCAGCAGCAACACCCCTCCCTGCCCCACCACTCCTCCCATCCCCACCTCCATCCCCTCCTCCACCTTCTCCTCCCCTTTCTCCTCTCCCCCGCGCCCAGCCTCTATAGAGTCAATCGCCTCCTGGGTGCGTCTAAATACCTCCTTAGCATCCAGCTCTAGCACCTCCTTCCCAGAAATCTCATCTTTCACTAGTCCCTGCTTCTCCTTCTGCTTCTCCCTCTGCTTCTCCATCTCCTTCCGCTGGCGCTCCTGCTCTGCCCGCAGCCCCTCCTCCATGAATTCCCGCACCTCGTCCTCGTCCACACACATCTCGCCACGTGTCACCAGGGGGCGCGGCCAGAGCCATTTCCAGTGCTGACAGTCCTGCTGCACGGCCACGCTCCTCCCACCCACTGCAGCACCGCCGTTACCACCCGCCCTACCGCTCCCCCCACCCACCGCGCCGCCTCCCCCGCTCGCCCTGTCCGCCAGAAACTGGCGCATGAACGCAGACAGCCCCGCCAGAACCGCATTGCTACTGCTCTTGCTGCTCTTGCTGACTGGAAGGGCAGCAGTGGGTGTGGGGGTATCGTCACCTGCCGTGGGGCGCCATGCGCACGCGTGGATGTGCGGGGAAAGGGCGTCAGGCGAGAAGAAGCCCCACGACTGGAAGTCCGGACACACTCCTGGTGCTGGTGTCGGTGATGCTGCTGATGCCGCGCTGCCGACGGCCTGCTGCTGCTGCGCCCATAGCTTCTGCTGCGCTCGCTGCCACTCCAGCTGTTGCGCGGATCGCGGCGCGCGAATGAGGTCGACAAGAGGCAGCACCTCGAGTGAAGATCCCTCCACCGCCGCCTCTAGCGCCGCCGCCGCCCCCGTCCGCTCCCGCTCACCCTGCGCATCCCCCTCGCGCTGATCCCCCTCGCGCTGATCCCACTGGTCCCGCAGCTCCGCCTGCTCCCCCTGTTGCGCCTGCTTGCGCCTGCCGTTCCGCCGCTGTCTTCCCCCGGTGCTGCCCGGTTCCGCTGATTCTGCGGGCTGCGGGCGGAATCGCAGCAGCGGAGCGGAATTTAGTGGAGCTCCTGGTACAACGAGATCCGCGGGCTGCGCGCGCAGGGGGAGCCGTGGAGCGGCGAAATCTACGGGCTGCACGCGCAGGGGGAGCTTCGCAGCGGAGTCTGGTCGCAACGTCCGCGCGGATCTATGCTCGCTGCTGGACGCATGCGATGCTCCGCTAAGAATGAATCCGTTTGCGCTACAGGAAAATCTCGTACAGCGCAGGGAATACTTAGAAAGCTCTGGACGATGGGGCGTGAGGAGGAGAATGACGCAGGCGAGCAGCGAAGCCTTGACCCTGCAGGTATGGCGACGGGTCGAATGCGGATATAACTTGGCCATGTTGGAAGAAAGCACGTGTGGACTATACTCGATGGGGCGTGAGGAGGAGAATGATGCAGGTGAGGAGCAAAGAGCCCTTGACGCTGCCGGGATGGCGATGACGCGGTTGTGTATGTCTCCCGGCCATGCGGAGGAGGCTGAGAATTATCTAGATGGGTCGGACCGGAAGCTACAGATAGCCTCAGTAACAGTTGCACGTCTCTTCGGAATGAAAAGACGGCTGATTTGGATGCTGAACCTGCAGTTGTCGCCATGTGATCGTCGCATTCGCATCAGGGGACGCGCTGTGCGACTGAACGGGACGGGACGGGACGGGACGGAACACAAAAAAATGGTTCAGAGAAATCGCAGGACGAGCGATGAGCAAATTGAACAACTGTAGCGTTGAAGCCAGCTTCGGGGACAGCTTCATAATCGACTGAAGGGGCTTGAGTGATGTGGGTCGACGGGTGCTCGGTATCCGCGATTGATGGATGGGGGCGGGACGGCGGAGTGAGCTTCACAACACAACAGCAGCTTGACTTCTTTCTGTAGGAAAAGGGCGGTTGAGTACGATGCTGTGTGTTATGATGTTTTCGCCGCCTTGAACCGTCCTTTACCTGCGTGAACACTGAGACGCGAAGTGGAAACCAGCTTTGCCGTTCTTGTTACGCTTTGCTGAACACTGGTTGGTTGATTGACACTGTAGTCGTCGCAACGAAAGCACCTGGGTGATACCTGTAACGGAGGAGAGGGGTGTGCGGCGCGGCGGGAGAAAATGCAAGGGCACAATCGTAGGAAACACGGCACCGCACAAAAGCACCTGGGTGGTGGTGGAAGATCACCTTCCCACTCTAATTGTCCAGAATGTACTGCGTGTTCGTGTCTTCGTTATTGTGAAAATAAATCATTACTGAACCTGGATTCAGGGATTCTATCCAGCTAACAAATTTGGAGTAAACCAATCATTATTTCCCGATTGAATGTATGCGAGACCCATGTTGGGCGTAGCATCCACTTATTATTGAGGTGGGAGCAGCCTCATTACAATATCGTAGATGAATTGGGACCATGCATCCTCTGGGTCTGGTGAGCAGTAGTGCAGGCAATCCAGTCGTGTGCCTCCCACGTCCCCCTTGTGCCCGTCTGGTCTGAAAGCAGTCATAGGGTCCACATCCATATACACTCCCCCATTCTCCTCCACTATTGATTTCACCAGCTCGTTTTGAAGCTTGAAGTTGCCCCATTTGTGGGGCAGTTGTTCCGGGCCCTGCCTCTCCTTTATAGGTCGAATGTGCTCCAAGCAGTGGAGATGGCCTGGTGCAGTGGTCCTGTATATCACAAGCTTTTCTGGGTGATTGTAACGAATGAAGCGCATCATCCGCGTCACAGATTCCACCACGTTCTCGTTCACCTTATAGTGTGCTCCACGATTGATGACCAGCACATGGGAGTTGCGAATGCAGGAACCTCCATCCAAGGGGTGCTGATCCATCTTATCCGCTCCAGCTTCTCCTCATTCACAGGAATTAGTCTCCTGTTTGCCACGTAGTGTGCACTCAAACCTGGGCACCCAGCTCCCTCAAACGTGTATTCCATACAAGTCAGGTCCACCTTTGATCCGAGAATTGTTGTCCATGTCATACACTTGCGCCTTGTTATAACGTTCGCAGGCTTTGGGATGTGCTTGACGATGTTGTTCACGAAATTCACATGCGATTCCCGAGACAGGGAATCTCTGAGAAATGCAATCCGCGGCCCTCCCTTCCTCCGCCGTGCCAGCTCACACAACCCTCGACCGTCAAACCTAGAAAATAGTTCTCCTGGGTTCAACACCTCGGAATTAGGCACGGCCAGTTGCTCTGCTCTGAAACCAGTAGCCTTTGGACACTTGTTCGTTGGGACCACCCACTCGTACTTGAGCGTATCTCGAACCTTCCAATCGGCTGCAGCTGCTGGTCCGCGTGCCGCGATCTTATCCACTTTGGTCGACGCGATTCCGCCTGGTGCTTCCCATTCCGCGTCGCACTTTTCTACTCGGTGATCCGGCCATGCCAGCACCCGCGGAGTAGCATTGAACCGCCACTCCCCCTTCTCCGCCACACACTCCGCCCACTGCCGAAATCGCGCCACCAAGCCGGAGTCTCGACCCTGGGATGAAATCGTGGAAATCTCCAAGCATGCTAACGTCAGCAGGAGGGAAAGTCACCGGCGGTAACCATGTGGCTTCGCGTAGCACGGGGTTCTTCCGCAGGGACGCGGTTACCGTTGCATAGACCTAGTCCACGTGGCACATCTTGCTGGCGTCCATGTGGTTCCTCTCGGGATCGCACACAGACAGAAGGTGATGCACACCCACCCGCTCAGAGAGCCTGTAGTGCCACGTGGCAGTGCTCTGTTGGCTGGACAACCTCCTACCGGATTTCCCATCTCCCTGGAAATTCTCAACCGTGCTCTTGCTAGACTCTAACGTGCCATTCACCACGTACGATAGGATCTCGATAACCGTCGAATTAAACGGCATGAAGATGAGATTCGAGAGTGCAGGCGACGTGGGTCCCACCAGCAGAATCGTTTGCGAGAACAACGCCTTGGCTTTTCGCAAAGGCAGATGCTCCTCGTCGACCACCACGCGCTCCTCTGAGTACAACTCGCGTAGCATCCCCGCAATCGCCTCCATCGCCTCCTCCGTGTGCCACGTCGCCGCCGTCCGCATGTTCCCGTCGCCCAGGCCCCCACCGCCGCGATCCATCACGCGCGCGCTCCACAGCAGCGACACCACCACCACCCAATCCTCCGGCAACGTCCGCCCCACCGCGAGGTGGTGCAGCGGGTGCGCGGCCGGTGGAAGGGGGTTGCGGGGAAGAGGCTGCTTGCGCAGACGCGTGGAGGCGGGGGGTCCAGGCGGAGGAGAGGATGGGGAGGCCGTCGGGGGGCAGCAGGTGGTGGCCGCGGAGGGCCAGCCAGAGGGCGTCGGGGGCGCGCGGGCGGCCGGAGGAGGAGAGGCCGCACACGCTGCTGGCATGGACGAGCTGGATGGAGGGAGAATGGGAGAGGATGGGGGAGAAGAGGGGGGGATGGGGAAGGGGGTGACTGGGAAGGAGGTTTACACGGCAATCAAATGTCAGTAAGATGAGGTGTCCGCGCAAGCACGAATGTAACAGCATGTGGCATGCGTACCATCAACAGCGTCTGCGCGTTCCATGAACAGTCTCTGCACGTACCATGATCAGTGTCTTTGCGTAGAAGTGGTGGCGATGGCCGTCGTGATGCTGCCTTTTAGCCGGTAGGTGGTGCACGGACAGCGAGGCTAGTTCCACCCCGAACATGCTGCGACCCAGATGCTCCAGCAGCTGGATTGTGAAACGAGAAGGTAGAAACGGATGGAAGGAGAATAAGTGGTTGAAAGGCATGGCACGGCTGTTCTTCCGCTATAGGTGAGTAATGGTAACAGATGGGTGCAGAGAATAAGAATAAGTTGGTAACCTGGTATAGGCGCAAGCGGGACTCACGTGTTCGATCCTCAGCAGCAGGGGGTACTGCCTCGCGGCGGGCATGAGCGCAGTTGCTACCAGGTACAGCGCGGGGAGCAGGCGCTCCAGCAGCCGCTCCTTGCCGTTGTGCAGCCGCGCCTGCGCCACCCAGTCCGTCCCCCGCAGCCCCCGCTCCGCCATCTCCGCCTCCTCCGCCTCTTCCACCTGCTGCTCCGCCTCCTCCTGCTCGTACGGCAGGAGATTCACCAGGTGCTCGTGCACGCTCACGCGGGTCCCCGACGCAAAGGAAATCGGATCTCTCAGCGTCTTCACTGCGCCGCCCTCCCGGGTCCACTGGCCCCGCCCGCACGCGTCCTTTGCGAACACGTGGCTCTCGTTAAAGGCAGTCCCGTTAGAGTTCACAAACACGTCATCAAAGCGCAGCACTCCGCATCCCCCCAGCACGCCCACTGTTATAGTCACAACAGGCCTAAAACGAAAGATAGAGTGCACAGTCGGATTTCTGCGCAGGGGCTTCAAATGTTGATAGCATTTTTTTCACAGCTCCAAATGACGTGCTATAAATTGGATCTGGAGCGTCTTGACGTCGTCTACAATAGGCAAGTTAGATCGCACGATTTCATAAAGGATTGATGACGCAACGTCAGTTTGAACGAACGGCACTATGGCAGCCACTATAGTCTTAGAACACAAATTAGGAAGAGTTACGAGTTGGGAATGACTCCCAACCTCTACAAACCCCAAGAGCCGAGGTACAGTGATGTGGAACAGTGCCACATTGTCCCCAACCAAGAAGGGTCTCGAAACTACCCTCCACAAGGGCCTAAACCAAGAGAAATGTTACACTACACTTTGTAATGTAACTATTCTCAATATCTTGAAGTTTACCATTTTGACGAGCTTCGAGATCACTTGAATCTTGGAACCAAGGCTCTGGGTTTTCACCATAAACTCATCCTTGAGTTCTTGAAGGTCTGCTGCACACACCTGCAACACGCAGAACGTTCGACACACGAAAAAAACTAGAAAACGCACACGACACACAAACGACGACGTGACACGCGACTAGCAATAACTCGATATTGACTCGACACACACCTTCGACATCATGACTCATCATTCACACTATTATAAGCATGAAATATATATTATCTCATGCCCTCATACCATTCCATGCACACACGCATTCACGCACACGGACAACAAGCCGAGTGCAAACCCTGGGGTTGCACCAACACCCCGCCTCGTTCGCCTCCAGCCGCGACCGCTGCTCCCCGGGCCGCTGCCCCAGCGCCTCGCGCACGCGCTTCATGAGCTCCGCCGCGCCCACTAGCTCCGTAATTCTTCCTCGTTATTGTCATCATCGTTAGAGTCATCGCCGTCCACTTGAAGCTCGTCCGCCTCGTCCACGCAGACCTCCCCCTCGTGACGAGCGGTCGCGGCCAGATCCAGCGACGATCGCGGCACTCGTTCTCAACTGCGCGGCCTCTCTTGTCTTCAAGGAAGCCAACCATGAACAGTCGCAGAGTGACGGACGGGGAGGAGGCGCTTGGGGGGAGGGCGGAATCTAGTCTGCGCCACTTGCACGCGAAGATGCGCGAAAGCGCGCCCCTCCAGGGTTGAAACAGCGGGCACGGCGCGTAACCATCTGCTTCCGCATGCGACTGTTTCGTGGCAGCAGCGGCACCGGGTTGAGTCTGCGCCGCGCCGCGCGGGCGGACAAGGAGCATTTCCCTGAGCGACGCGACGCTCATCGCGGCGCCGTTGAGAGGAATGCGGAGCTCGGTTGGCGCCTCTGTGCGCTCCCGCTGCGCCAACTGCGCCGTTCCGCCGCCTCTGCGCGGGGCTTGCGACCATTGAGCGGCGCGGAGAGTTGCGGCGGCATTCGGCTGTGTCTGCGAGAACTGGATTCGCCGAAACTTCGTTTTGGTATTAGGTGTCAAACATTATATGTTTAAATTGTGTAGGCTATAGTGGGTTTAGTCTTAGGGGGTACAACTTTGTTAGGGTTTCCTACTTGTATCCCCCTCCTACCTAGTTTCATCCATTCTCGTTCACCTCTACTTTACAACATGGTATCCGACGCCTAGGTCAGGACCTAGGACCGAAGTTGGTTTGGGCCCACCGTTCCACCGCGCCGTCGAGCGCCCCTTCACGCGCCGTCGAGCGCCCCTTCTTGCGCCGTCGAGCGCCCCTCCTAGCGCCGTCGAGCGCCCCTTCTAGCGCCGTCGAGCGCCCCTACTAGCGCCGTCGTGCGCCCTAGTGGCCGCCACCCGTAGGCTGCCCATCGCCCGTAGGCTGCCCGTCGCCTGCCGTCGCCTGTAGGCCGCCCTTACGCTGCCCGTACGCAGCCCGTAGGCCGCGGCCGCCCGTAGGCCGCTAGTACGACGCCCGTAGGACGCTGCCGTCCGTAGGCAGCCCGTAGGCAGCCCGTAGGCAGCCCGTAGGCCGCCCGTAGGCCGCTCACGCGCAGGCCGTGACCCGCGCGCCGCGGCTACTTCACGCCGACGCCTGCAGCCCGCCGGAGCCCGTGCGCGTCGCCCCCCCTGCCCCTTCGCGACGCCCTTACGGGACCCGCGAGTCGCCCCCGCCTCGTCGCGACGCAGCTGCGGGACCCACGCGTCGCCCCCGCCTCGTCGCGACGCAGCTGCGGGACCCGCGCGTCGCCCCCGCCTCGTCGCGACGCAGCTGCGGGACCCGCGCGTCGCCCCCGCCTCGTCGCGACGCAGCTGCGGGACCCGCGCGTCGCCCCCGCCTCGTCGCGACGCAGCTGCTGGACCCGCACGCGTCGCCCCTGCCTCGTCGCGTCGCCCCCGCGCGCGACCCGCGCGTCGCCCCTGCTCACCGTGGCGCCCTGCTCTACCCCGCGCCCGCCCTTGGGACGGCCGCCCCTGGCCTCTGGAGCAGCTGCACCTACAGCCGCCCCTGGACCCTGGAGCAGCCGCCCCTGCAGCAGCCGCCCCTGGCCACCTGGAGCAGCCACCACAGCAGGAGCCGCCCCTGGACCCTGGAGCAGCCGCCCCTGCAGCAGCCGCCCCTGGCCCCTGGAGCAGCCGCCACTGCAAGAGCCGCCCCTGGCCCCTGGAGCAGCCGCCCCTGCAGCAGCCGTCCCTGGCCCTTGGACCAGCCGCCACTGCAAGAGCCGCCCCTGGCCACTGGAGCAGCCGCCCCTGCAGCAGCCGCCCCTGACCCCTGGAGCAGCTGCCGTCGCGGCCCGGCCCCGCCCTGCAGCAGCTGCCACGGAGCTCCCTGCCGCGGCCCAGCCCCGCCCTGCAGTTGTAGCGGCCCCGCTGTCGCCACCGTCTTGCGCCTACCGCGCCGACCACTGGTGAGCATTACCATGCCCGCACTGCTACCACTACTACTGCTGCTACTGCCTCTACTGCTCCTACTGTTACTGCTATTACTGCCGCTACTGCTGCTACTGCTGCTCCTGGCGTGGCCAGATGCAGCTCCAGGGCCGTGCGCGTGAGTCCCTCACGCCCCAGCAGCTTCGTGAGTGGTACGCTAGTTGGGGCTGTCGGGGTGGCCGTAGTGGTAGTCGCTCTCGAGTGGGTCGTTCGGGAGCTCCTGGTAGTGGACAGGTGCAGCTGTCGTGTCCTCTTTCGCCCCAGCAGCTTCGTGAGTGGTACGCTAGTTGGGGCTGTCGGGGTGGCCGTAGTGGTAGTCGCTCTGGAGTGGGTCGGTCGGGAGCTTCTGGTAGTGGACAGGTGCAGCTACCGTGTCCTCTTTCGCCCCAGCAGCTTCGTGAGTGGTACGCCAGTTGGGGCTGTCGGGGTGGCCGTAGTGGTAGTCGCTCTGGAGTGCGTCGTTCGGGAGCTTCTGGTAGTGGACAGGTGCAGCTGCCGTGTCCTGTGAGTGAGGCTGCCGCTCTAGGTGCTAGTGCGTCTGTTGCCCTAGGTGCTGGTGAGGCTACCACTCCCGGTACTCGCGTGTCTGCTACCCCAGGTGCTGGTGAGGCTGCTGCTCTAGGTGCTAGTGAGTCTGCCCCCCCTGGTACTGAGTCGACTGAGGCACTGCACACCTTCACACTGGACTCAGGTGCTTCTCGCTGTTTCTTTCGTGACCGCACTACCCTTGAGCCGCTTGCTCGGCCAGTTGCTGTCTCTCTCGCTGACCCCTCTGGGGGTCCGGTCATTGCGACCTCCTCCACTGTCCTTCCTTGTCCTGCGGTCCCGTCGGGCACACTGTCAGGTCTCCACCTCCCCTCGTTCTCTACGAACTTGGTGGCAGGTTGTGCGCTCCAGGACGGGGGTGTCCACCAGTTCACCCCTGCCTACGAGCGCGTGACACACTGCACGTGTGCTCGGACGGGCCGTCACCTGGCTACCTTCACTCGGCAGCCGGGGTCGGACCTGTACACACTGACCACTGAGTCCCCTCAGGTAGCTGCGTCTGCGTCTGCGTCAGGTCAGCCGTCGGCCCCCTGCTCGTGTCGCTCTCTGGCGCACGAGACCGTCCTCTGGCACCACCGACTTGGTCACCCGTCCGTGCAGCGCCTTCGTGCCATGCACAAACGGTACCTTGTCTCTGGTCTTCCCAGGGTTCTCCCTCCCCTCCCACCCTCGCCTGCTCCTCCCTGTCTTCCCTGTGTCGAGGGGCGGCAGCGCGCCGCTCCTCACTCCTCCTCGTTTCCCCCGACGACTGCTCCCCTGCAGACGCTCCACATGGACGTGTGGGGCCCAGCCCGCGTCCGTGGTCAGGGTCAGGAGAGGTACTTCCTGATAGTTGTTGACGACTACTCGCGCTACACCACGGTCTTCCCCTTGCGCACCAAGGGTGAGGTCCCTGATGTTTTGATCCCTTGGATCCGCGCTTCTCGTCTCCAGCTCAGCGAGCGTTTCCACTCGGACTTTCCTGTCCTGCGCTTGCACTCTGACAGAGGTGGTGAGTTCTCCTCCGACCTCTTGGCAGCCTACTGTGCGAAGCACGGCATTCGCCAGTCGTTCACGCTTCCGGCCTCTCCACAGCAGAATGGGGTTGCTGAGCGCCGCATTGGCTTGGTCATGGAGGTCGCTCGTACCTCCTTGATCCATGCGGCTGCCCCCCACTTTCTGTGGCCGTTTGCGGTCCGCTACGCTGCGCATCAGCTCAACCTCTGGCCCCGTGTCTCCGTTCCGGAGACTTCGCCGACACTGCGTTGGACGGGAGAGGTTGGCGATGCGTCACGCTTTCGGGTCTAGGGATCTCGAGCTTTTGTCCGCGATACGTCTGCGGACAAGCTCTCCTCCCGCGCTGTTCCTTGTGTCTTCCTTGGCTTTGTCCCGGACGCGTCTGGTTGGCAGTTTTACCACCCCACCTCGCGCAGTGTCCTGCCTTCACAGGACGTCACGTTCGACGAGTCCGTCCCCTACTACCGCCTCTTCCCCTACCGCACTGCCCCGCTTCCCCCCCCGCCTCTCTTCCTCGCGCCAGGTGCTGCTGTGGTAGACCCCCTCCCCCCTCAGGGTGCCGCTCCCTCAAGTGTGTCCCAGGTAGACCCGGTTGAGCCTGTCGAGGTAGCTGTCGACTCTCGTCCTGCTGAGGGTGCTGAGCCTGAGCGTGCGGAGCCTAGGGGTGCGGAGCCTGGGGGTGCGGAGCCTGGGGGTGCGGAGTCTGGGGGTGCTGAGCCTGGGGGTGCGGAGCCTGCGGGTGCTGAGTCTGGGGGTGCTGAGTCTGGAGGTGCTGCGCTTGGGAGTGCTACACCTGGAGGAGCCCTCTCCTCACAGCAGCTGCGTGAGTGGTACTTACAGTACTGCAACCTCAGGAGAGGTGCTTCTGGAGCTAGGAGTACTGCTGGAGCTGGGGCTAGTGCTTCCCCTCCTAGGCGGGAGCTACCCTCTCCCCAGCGGCTCCGAGAGTGGTACGCACGGCGCTGCAGTCTCCGGAGTGGCGCTCCTAGTGTCGCGGACCCTGGAGCTGGAGGTGCTGCTGCTGCTGGCGGTGCTGCTGGTGCTAGTGGATGTGCTGCTGGTGCTGGAGCTGCTGGAGGTGCTGCTGCTGGCGGTGCTGCTGGCGCTGCTGGAGGTACTGCTGGTGCTGGAGCTGCTGGAGCTACTGGAGGTGCTGCTGCTACTGGTGGTGCTGCTGGTGCTGCTGGAGTTGCTGGAGGTGCTGCTGGTGCTGTTGCTGTTGGAGTTGCTGGAGGTACTGCTACTCCTGGAGGTGCTGCTGGTGCTGCGGACCCTGGAGTTGGAGCTGCGGCTGGTGCTGCGGACCCGGGCGTTGGAGCTGCTGCTGGTGCTGCGGACCCCGGAGTTGGAGCTGCTGCTGGTGCTGCGGACCCTGGAGTTGGAGCTGCTGCTGGTGCTGAGGACCCTGGAGTTGGTGCTGCTGCTGGTGCTGACGACCCTGGCGCTGGTGTCTCTGCTGGTTCTGGAGACGCTGCGCGGCCGCGGCCGTACTTCGTTCCGCTCCTTCAGCAGGTTCTTGGTCAGCCTCCTCCTCCTTGTCCTCCTCCCTCCTTAGAGTGTCCTCCGTCTGTCAGGTCGCAGTCACAGTTACCGTCTGCCTCCCCTCTCCCTGGTCCTTCTCCTTACACTGGTCCGACTGGAGGTCTTACGGAGCGTCGTGAGCCTGAGTCTCGTCCTGCGTCGCCTGAGTCTCGTCGAGCGTCGCCTGTTCGTGCTGCTCACACTGGTCGTCGTGTCCCGCGTCAGCGTCCTCCTGCTGTCCCAGGCACTCACCAGATGGCGCTTCGTCCTTCCACTGCTCCTCAGCGTGTCCCTCTCCCGTCTCCTCCTGCGTCCTCTCTTCCTGCTCTTGCTGACCCTGAGTCTGACTCCCTTCGTGCTACCAGTCCTACTGTCACGCGTCTCCTGGCTACTGTTGTCACTGACCCTTCCTTTGAGTCCACTGCTGCGTCTGCCCTAGTTGCT